TGTGTGTATGTATGTGTGTGTGTGTGTGTGTGTGTGTGTGTGTGTGTGTGTGTGTGTTAGGCGAAGGGAGCCAGAAGCAAGTGAGGACACGCTCCACCTTCACCCACAGGGTCAGCGGGGAAGGGAACCAGCTCTAACCCTGGCAGTGGAACACCACAGCAGCTCAGAAAGTACTGCAAAGAACTTGGTAAATTGGTGGCGGTTTTCAAGCCCCCTGTAGGGACTTGTTTCCTCCCCTAACAAGTCCCGAGTCAAGGAAGGTCTTTTTAAGAGGTCGAAGAGGAGCCAGGCTCTTGCTGGATGCAAGTGCTGTTTCCAGAGAGGAGAAGGAGGTCTGTTCCGGAGGAGGTCCCCACTCTATCCTTGTAAGTTGAAGTTTTCATATGCCAGGCCAGGAAAGGTCACTCTTTAAAAGATGCAGAAAAATAATGGACCAAGGTCACTAGTCTGTGGAAGAACCACCTGGAGCCCAGGCTCCCTCCCGCCTATTTCTTCCGAATACTTAGTTTACAGAACAGTTTGTGTAGCTGTGGCATCCTTTGGCAGTCCAATAAAAGGCATGACCATTTACCCCCAGAAGAAGTGCACACAATTTCACTTTTAGTATGGGAGTGTCTTGGACGTCCTGAAGTTTGTCCTTGGATAAATCCCCATCCTCATCCCTGTCCATCCCTCGAACCATCTCACTTCCCAGTCGTTGGTGGGAAAGTGGTTCCCTGGAGGACTTCAAGCCCAGAGGCTGGAGGGTAATTCAACGGGATCTTGATTGCAGCTGCATGTCCTGAAGAGCACAGATTTCCCAAAGAGCACAGATGGAGGTATAAGGATTTGGGAAGGCACACAGGGAAAAGGGGCGGGATCAGCAGCTAGTGATGAAGTTATTGTCCTGTGTTTTCCCTGTCCGTGGGGTGCTGGAGAAGCCCCCCAACCAGAGGTATCCACCTGCAGCCTAGAGGTCCAGCTGAGCTGCCTTAGTCTAGCCCAGCAAGCCCACAATAGGGAGTCTGGTCTCTGCCCTAGAACATTCCCAAGGGCTGGTCCTCTGGGTTTGCTCCCCTGCCTTAGGGCCCCCTAACCCCAAGTTCCATTTCCCAGTTTGGGCCTCATCTGACTGGTTCATGTACACAAATACTATTTGTCTCCCTCTCAAGTGCTGTTGAAAGTTTGAACTAGTATGAGGGCTGCTGGGCTCCATAGCCTGTTTACTTTCAGTTTAGGAGGCAACTACCCACACCCTGTTCCCTCCTGGTGCCTCTCTCCGCCGTTGAGTAGCAAGCAGACCTATTTTCTCAACTTCGTTAACATTTAAAATTACGGGTGAAAGGCTAATTAATTATTCTATCTTCTTCTTAGGGGCCATACAAGCAATAAATAAGAACCAAGCCTGTCACCTGCATGGTCTGGCAGGGTAGTGGTGGTGGAGTTATAGTTCACTTTCAACTGGAGGGCAGATGCACAGAAACACCCTGTTTGCAAAGGCAGAAATGTATCTCTCTCGTGTGTGTGTGTGTGTGTGTGTGTGTGTGTGTGTGTGTGTGTGTGTATGTCTGTGAAGAAAGCTCAGCATTTTTTAACAAAAACAAAACAGCGAACAAAGGACCAGTGCCCAATCCTAAAATCAGAAGAGATGCAGAGGAGCCTCGAAAACAAAACCAAGAATAAAACAGCAGCAGCAGCAGCAGCAGCAGCAGCAGCAGCAGCAGCAGCAGCAGCAACAACAACAACAACAAAAACAACCAAGAAACCACGGCAAACACTCCGTCAGTATTTGCTGTTGAGAGCTGAGGACTCGCTTCTTTCTGTGACAGAGGATATCCTGGTCCAAGGTTCTTAACCTAGTCCCTGGCTTTCTCTGAGGACAATGGTTCTCTCAGGACTCCTTGCTTTCATCATCGTAGAAAACGGAGGTTAGAAAACATGTTTCTCCTGTAGTCAAGAACTCAAAGGCTCCCACCCAAGCACTTTGGTTAGACAAGAAAGAACACAAATGGAGAAACTCATCGGTTACTAGGAGGTGCTAAGAGCGAGGCAGCAAGAGTTGGTTCCTGTGTGCCTCAGTGAAATTGTCCAAGGAAGCCTTGCGACTTACAAGTGGCCCCTCAAGACCCCTAGAGTTGAAAAATCTACGGGAACATACAGAAAGCCATCTCCATTTACTTAGCTGGACATCACCTTGGTTCTGGGGAGAAGCAGGCACAAATGGGGCTCCAGTGCCAACCTAGGAGGAATCCAGATTTATAAAGGGCTTGAGAATACCTGTATTTACAGCAGGCAGCTGGTCTTTGTTTCCACTTGGGGTGAGCTTGATTGACTCCGAACTTTCTGACAGGTTCGGATTAGAGGAAAGTTACAATCAGCTTGGAAACTGTCTCCCTTCAACAAATATCCATCACGGGTCTACCGCAAGTCCAGGAGAACGACAATCAAGTGTTTTTAAAGCCGTTTCTCCTGCAGAGGGCTGAATTTAAAGGCAAGACTACAAAAGCGTCAGTGGGATTTTACATTGAGCTTAAGATATATAGAATACTGCTTAAGGGACTTCCTTGCGATTCCTGGGAAATTTAACTTTGTTTCAAACATTTCTGTGCAGGGTATTTTGAGAGAGAGGGAAGGAAGTTCATTTTCTTTATAAACACTTATTCACGCATGCTAAAAAGCAGTTTAAAAATTGTATAAATGCATGCTTAGATTGAATAGTTTTGTATCTAAAATTGCTAATGGCGTGGATGATTTCCATTTTCTCCATTATGAACTGTGCTCTCCAGTGGCAGCAGGAAAATGTAAGTGACCTGTAGTTGAGGCGGCCACCTGCCCAGCTCTGTGAAAGTAGAGAACTGTTTTGCGCTCCAGAGTTAACCACAAAATACAGATATTTGTAAGACAACTAGGCGCTGTCCTGCAAGATAAGCATGGACTTGTTCATGTGGAGAGAAAGATGCCAGTGTGCCCCTTTAGGCTGCGGCCTCTTTTCCGCAGCCCAGCTGCCGGTCGATGGTGAAATACGATGAGAATACCGATAGAAATCACGATCTCTACCTCTTAGTTACCTTCTCGAGAACAACACGATGCGTAAGAGTGAGACTCAGCTTGTTCCCTAGTCCGCAAGATAAACGGGCGACTTCTCCGCCGCAATCGCTGCTTGCACTTCCAGGTTCAGCTCCTGGATCAGGGACCCCGCTGCAGCGAAGGCTGGCGGGTGGACTCGGGCGCGGCAGTGCGGGGAGGGAAGCGTCCGCGGTGCTGGGAAGGAGGGCGCTCAGCCTGAATGCTTCAGCCAATCGGCGTGCACACCGCCTGACAACCGACCAACCAGAGGACGCGGAGTTCGGGGGTGGGTGTGGGTGGGTGGATAATACTAGGAAGGGGCGCGGAGGCCCGGGACTGCAGTGAGCGACACTGCTCTGCAGAAAGCAAGCAGAGTGCGCCTGCCGCAGAGTCCTGGGTCCGAGCCCCACCTTTCCTGCCCAGTTTGGGCCAGAAGTGGAAAGCGAAGTCAAGCGACCCAGGCTGCAGAGGACCGAACCGAACTTCGCAGAATTTGGGATGTACGGGGTGAGGTTGCTGAGGACTTGACTCACCTCCTGCCTCTGTCCTTCTCCACCATCCAGTGGGCTCTGGCCTCCTGCTGTCAGATCCCTGGTTCAATTTGCTCCTACTGCTTGCAGCTCCCGAGAGCGATCCTAAAGCTGGATATCTTTTAACTGGGTTGCTAGCCTGGGCCTCTGAGTGTTGGTAAGTGTTGTGATGTCGCCGCTCGCGAGTCAGGGAGGGTACGGGGGTGGTGGTGGTGGGGGCATGAATCATCATTACTGATCCTTTCTGTTTCTGGCTGTCTTGCTTTAAAGATGAAAATCAAGTTCCATCAACCCTGTGCGGCCCACACATTACTGACGCCAGACCAGCTTCTGCAGCTTTATGGCCAGTGTCCCCCGCTCCCTGTGTGTGCCTGGGCCCTCTAATAGCAGCACAGCGTTGGTTTAGGGGAAGGGGAGTGAGGCGAAGACCTCTCCAGAGTCTTTGTGGAGGCGTAGGTCAATGAAGGACAATTGGGAAACGTGATTTTAAGGTCCCTTGCAATCAAAGGAAAGATAATTGTTCCACCGACAGTTTTATATGCCTCATGGCCATGCTAGCCGGCTGTGGAAAAGCTTGACAAGTGGCTTAAACCGGCGAGTGTGTAAGGTCAGTGGGTGACTTGTCTGGAAAGGCCAGACAGGGCTGCGGTTAAAGGTCAGGTGCACAGACCACTTGGAATTAGTAAATTAAAACCTTCGTTGAGTGGTGGATCTCTGGGTCCGTGTTGCCTGTTTTGTAGGGACCAGAAGGAAACTGGGTAACTTCTGGCCTTGCAGAAGTTCTGGGCCGAGGCTCAGAGAGGGTCCCTGACTGCGACGGGCCGGTCTTCGGGCCCCTTTCTGTCTCCCTAGAGTGCCAGCAACCGAGCCCAGCGAGAGCCTAGCGCCATGACGGAAGGGCAGGCGGTCCCGGGAGCCGGGGACTGGGAGATCGACGTGGAGAGCCTAGAGCTGGAGGAGGGTGGCTGTGGGGCTCCGCTGCGGGCCACGCCTCAGGGACCCAGTCCGTCAACGGCTGATGGGGACGTCGAGGAGGACGAGGACGAAGACGAGGAGGATGAAGACGCAGAGGACGAGGGGGACGGCGAGGAGCCGGGCGCGTCCGCGGAGGTGCGGGAGGTGCCAGGCCGGCCAGAGCAGCCTGGAGGACTGGCACCCAGGCCACCGCCTGCGGCTCAGGCTCTGCCAGCCGCCGCCGCAGCCCCTGAGCGCTGTGCCACCGCGGGTGGCGGCGCAGAGCCACGCAAACTGAGCCGCACGCCCAAGTGTGCGCGCTGCCGGAACCACGGCGTGGTGTCCTGTCTCAAGGGCCACAAGCGCTTCTGTCGCTGGCGGGACTGCCAGTGCGCCAACTGCCTGCTCGTGGTGGAGCGCCAGCGTGTCATGGCCGCCCAGGTGGCGCTCCGGAGGCAGCAGGCCACCGAGGTGGGTGCCCTTGGGCCTGGGGTGCGCCTCGAGGGTGCGTGCCCAGCCAGGATGGGGAGTCCCTTAGCCGCAGAAGAGGTGCAGACGCTCTGCCCACGCTGGTCTGAGGGCTCGGGAGCGAAAGCCGTGGGCATCGCTGCAGAACGTGCTGGAAAAGTCTCCAGCTTAAAAAGCAAAGAGTGGCCTTGAAAATAATTAAGTCCATTTGGGACACTACGGAAAAGTCTTTGAAAAATATTTTAGGGTTAGTTTTGCAGGTGGTCGGGGAGGGAGGGGGGTGTTTGACAGTGCGGTATGTCCAGTCACTGCGTTGATAACTAACGCCCACAGAGAATAAAGCCATACGCGGTGCGGTCACCGTGCGGTGTCACCTTGACACCGAACTTGATGCCCATTTTCCAGAGGAGACAAAATGCAGTCTGAGTAAGAGTCCCTCAGCCCAAGGTTGCTCGGGGGACCTCCGGTGGCCCTGGACCTGGGTTCAATCTCTTTCCTAGTTAGGGGAGAGCCTGCCCTGCCTTGCTAGGCTTCTCTGCAGCTCACTGGGTTGGGAGCAGCCCGGTAGCGACCAGAGGGTTTCCAGGCTAGTGTCCTTGACGAGTTTCTTCAGCCTTCACGCACTACCCTTCTCCAGAGAACAAGGCAGACACAGAAGACTCACTCAGTCTCTGGCACCCCATCGTTGTCTACTCTACCTAGGGGAGAAACCGCTCTGTCTTTTGGTCAGTTTCTGGGTACCTTCAGCTTAGTGGATGCGTCCTGGGGAGGCAACCATCCCCCCAACCCAGTTCTCCCAGGCCGGTTCCTAAAGTCTCCTTGCCTGTGGATCTCACCTTCCTCTAGATGTCTCCTTAAGTACCTTCTGGAGAGATAGCTAGAGAAAGAGGGGGTGGCCCTCTAGGGGCTGAGCTGAGATTAAGGGGCGCTTCCATTAATTTTCTTTGGAATAATTTTTTTATAAGAAACGGCGAAACAAATACGTTTTAGGTTGGGGAGAGTTCTAGAGGCCTTGCGGATGCCCCTCCCCGACTCTGACGATTGTTTCTTGTGTTCACAGGACAAGAAGGGGCTTTCTGGGAAACAGAATAATTACGAGCGGAAAGCGGTGTACCAGAGGCAAGTCAGGGCTCCAAGTTTGCTGGCCAAAAGCATTTTAGAAGGTAAAATAACGTCAAGTTGTCCTTTGGCTTTTTAAATCGAGTTGAGGGATGCTTATTATTTAGACGCCTGACGTTTGTATTAACCCAGGAAGGAGCTAATCTTCGAAGTTTGCCTCGGGGAAGGGAACTCATACCTGGAAAGTGCACGTCACACTCTCGCAGTTTTTTACCACTAGTTTTTTAACTCTGACTAGTTAATGTCCTCCGTTGCAGCGCCTGTGAAATTTGTCCCAGTGTGAGGGACATACAAAAATACACTGTCAGGTGATCCTGGAAGTGCAACAATTAAAACTCACTCCCACCCCACTCTCATAGTTATTGAAGGAGTTTAGTGGGCAGAGCAAGCCAAGCAAGAAGATTACAGCTGTGACCAAGAGTCACCTCTAGCCTCAAGTTTCACTCTTGAGCGTTGCTCTGTTTTCCTCTGGAAATCTAGATGATTGCTGCTTCCCCACACTTCCTTCCTACCGCTCCTGTCAGTCAAAGCTGTAGAGTGGGAAAGGATTTGAATCCAACAAGCAAACTGGAGAAGCTCGATGAGCAGCTGCCAGTCGGGGTCTCCCCGTGGCTTATTTTCTGCCAATCCTAGAGACACGTGGATTTTTCTTAAAATAGCGATGCTTTTCCAAAGCATTTGGATTTAGGTATGGCGTTTATTTATTGACTGGTTAGGCAATGTATTGGCCATCACCAGTTTCTGTGACATTCTTTACGTTTCCTTTGCCTTTATCTACGGTGAAGTTACATCCACTTTAATCAGTTCAGCTTAAACAGAAGGGTTTCCGGGTTCCTTGAAGTGAGCAGCTGAGTTTTTTTTTTTTTCCTTTTTTCTTTTTTCTTTCTTCCGAGGCTTCTGAGCTTAGCTGATGCTGGACAGTTTTAAAGTTTGTGTCTCAGTCTGTGCTGTGCACTTCTGACCTTAGAGCGAGTTTTGAATTTGGCTGCAAAGTAGGTAATCATGTATAACCATAGGGACCACAATGATCAATTGAAAATCCTGCCAAAGCAAGTTGAGACATTTGAGGACTCAATGAAAAAAGTAAATTCAGGGAAATGACTTTCTGGCAAACACTTAGCCTAGAAGTGGAGACAATAATTTTCAATTTGTCTTTTACTTGCAAATGAGTATAATGGGTTTGTCACTGTGTAAATACAAACACCATACTGGATCTTCCGAAAAATCTGCTAGTGTTGAGTGTTTGGGAGTGGTGAAATACTCCGAGCATTCAATTTATGTTCTGTTAGTTTTTGTTTTTGATTTTTGTCTCTGTTTATAAACTGTGCATGATTTCATCTGCATCTTAATGACTGCTTGTTCAGCCCTTTTCGTATTTGGCCAACACGAATGAACTTGAGGTGGGGGAGGATGCTTGAGATCTGTAGCTGGAGATGCTTTCCTCCCCCCCCCATTATTGTTTTGTCTTGCTTTGTTTGTTCAAGAGGTCAAGGGGAAGCCTGGCTGGATTGTTAGGTGGGCTGTGTGTTTGGACTAGTTAACAGCTCTTTTTAGTTTTTCTGTGCTTTTCTGTGTCCTCAAGTCTTTCTTCTTTTTCTCCTTACTAATCTTCTTTAACTTTCTTTTTCTTTTTTTCCTAGTTCTCCTTGGATTATTCTACAGCTGTAACAATGTGTACATAATGAGACATCTTTAGAAAATAAAAGTGACATCAGCTGTAGGTATAGATATCTTTTATAATAATGCAAAAAGAAAAAAAAAGATGATACGGGCAATGAAACATTGATGAAAATAGATTTGTCTGTCGATGTCTAGGGACCTGGGAAGAATATTAAAATCTCGGTCGAGATAGTACACTTGCTGAAGCAGGCAAGCAGACATATCTCTACTAACAAAAACAACGACAGCCAGGAGCTGCCATAGGGGCACCTTTCCCCAAAGGGAAGCCATCTTAAATTAAACCTATACTTTGCTTTCTATATTAAACTATCAGTGATATGGAATTGCAACTGATTATCCTGTGCTTTGTGATGTTACTTTCGCCTTCTGGATCTCCAGATTCTTCTTGTCAGGGTGTTAATCTGCTTTCTTTGCAATACTTGCTTATTTTAGGCTATCGCCCAATAACAGCGGAGACTTACCTGGGAGGGACCCTTCCTCTGCCTCCACCTGTTAGTGATAGGATGAGGAAGAGAAGAGCCTTTGCTGACAAAGAGTTGGAGAACATTATGCTGGAGAGAGAATATAAAGAGAGGGAGATGTTGGAGACTTCCCAAGCTGCTGCCTTGTTCTTGCCCAACCGTATGGTGCCAGGACCCGAATACAGTTCTTACAAAAGTGCCTACAGCCCCACTACGGGGGAGCCCCCAAGCAAGGACTTCTGTAATTTTTTACCAACCTGTCTTGATCTCACCATGCAGTATTCAGGGTCGGGGAATATGGAACTAATTTCTTCTAATGTCAGTGTGGCCACAACTTACAGACAATATCCCCTGTCCTCACGATTTTTAGTTTGGCCCAAATGCGTTGGTCCCATTAGTGACACCCTTCTCTACCAGCAATACCTGCTAAATGCTACCACTTCTGTTCAAGCCCTGAAGCCTGGGGCCAGCTGGGACTTGAAAGGAACCCGAGTTCAGGATGGCCTCAGTGCAGAACACGACATGATGCCACCCAAACCGGAAGGCTCCCTGGTGCTGCCACATCTACCTGAGGCCCCAACCTCAAGAACTGACCTTCAGGCTCACCACGTTGTCCCTGAGAGGTCTGCCTTCTCCCCACCCAGGCGGAATTTCTCTCCCATTGATATGGACGGCCTGGCAGCTCAAGGGCACGTCTTAACCAAGATCAGCAAAGAAAACACTAGGCACCCTCTGCCACTTAAACATAATCCATTCCACTCAGTATTCCAGCAGACGCTCAACGACAAATCAGGCCTGGAGTTGAAAACACCATTTGTCAAAGAAGCCTTTGAAGGGACCCCAAAGAAGCACAGGGAGTGTTTGGTGAAGGAGAACCAGAAGTACACATTTACAATAGACAGATGCGCCAAAGACCTCTTTGTAGCCAAACAAGTTGGAACGAAACTCTCGGCGAACGAGCCGCTGTCATTTTCTGTTGAATCTATTCTTAAGAGGCCCTCATCTGCCATCACTCACGTCTCTCAGTGAAAGGCTGCTTAAATGGAGAGCTGGATTTTTCTACAGTCTCAGAGGGGGTCTTTGTAGATGCCTTTTCTGTTTTTAAAGTTAAGATGTTTGTATAAAGAAATTTCTAATGTAAATGATGATTCCTAAGATCCTATGTATTTCCTCTGCATGTATCTTTTCTTATCACATGAGTATATTTAAAGACGGAAACTGCTTACTATGCAAATTGTAAGGTTCTATGCTTTACACGGCACTCCAAAAAGCAATAAAAATAACATCGTCTCCCAAAGACCCAGAATTCGTTGAAGCAAACAGCTGTCTAGATTGAAAAGCTCGTGTCTTAGAAATGCGTTCCTTATTTTTCCATAAGCCTATGTGCTTTCAAGTACCCTTAATGGTCTTTGTGAACCACAAGAGAATACCTATAAGCTTATAATGCTTTTGTTTGCATTTAAAAAAAAAATTTGCAGGTAGTGTGAGTCAAATTCAGGGCCTCACACATGCTGGGCGAATGCTCTTCTTTCTCTATACTACATTCCTGGTGCTTCTTTAAGGAAACATGTATTTTATTATAGATCTATAATATCTATCTATCTCACTTTAACTTTTTAAGACGGAGGCAAAGGGAACTTGGGGATGGAGTCTGGGCTGTTTGCATATTGATGGAACCTTGGTTTCATGTGCTTTGACAAAGTTGGAATAATTAGAAGGGGAATCAGGTACAACAAGATCATGTATTTGATCATGTGTTTGGAGATGGATGTGAATTCTCTGGGCCTGTTTCTTCCTCAGGTAGGACTCTGTACATCAAGCTCTAAGCCTCCTTAGGAAAGGGACATACCTTTGGATATTTCTAGTTGTTCTAAACATACCATGTCTTTAGTTTCCTGGTGATCACAGATCAGTTCTCCTTATTGGGTGCAGTCCATTTTGCCCACAGTGGTGTCAAATCCCCACTGGCTCTTGGGTTAGTTCACTAGTCGAGTCCTGAAAGATTGGTGACAATGGTCGTTTAGATGCAGGCCCTGTCAACTCTCAGCTGGCCCCTAACTATCTGTTTACACCTCTCACGGGTGTACCTGTGTCAAAGGCTGTCAGCGCAATTTTCTTCTGGGATTCAAAACATTTATTATTCAAATGTTATAAACGAGCACTTGCTGAAGCCTGCGGATGCTTATCCTAGAACACAGGCAGCTTCTCTCCCCTGCCATTTGTAAATTCTTTGTTACCCTCTTGTTATGCTTCACAAGATATTAAATGTTGCTTCAGAAGTTTGATAAAATGAGTGTGAGACGGTTGTGAGGATACTAATCTTCAATGGTCACCTGTGGGCTCGAGACGATGTGAGTTCCTGCTTAGCGTGCACAAAGTCCTGGGTCTGAGCCCCTGCACTGTGTAAACCAGGCTGCTCTAGTGATCCCCGCACTGGGAGGTGGAGGCAGGAGGATCAGAAGTTCAAGGTCATCCTTGGCTACCTATCCACTTTGAGGCCAGTCTGGAATTCGTGACACCCTTGTTGCACATATAATTCACGCACTTGGAGGTTGGAGGGTGTTGATGGTGGCAGGAGGGTGGTGTGTTCAAAGCCGCCATGGGCTGTGTAGCAAGACCCTGTCTCAGAAAACCAAAGTCACACCAAATGAACAAAGCATTCTCACTTCACTTGTGGATCCAAATCACATTCAAGTTTCACAGCTAAGATGATGGCTGAGCGGTAAAGAAGCCCGGTTCCTGCAAGTTGTCCTCTGACCTCCACATGCAAGTACATGAACAATGCACACACACACACACACACACACACACACACACACACACACACACACAAATAAACAATGTAATAAAACTTTTGAAGTTCTAAGATATCAAAGTCACCTCACTACGGAAGACAAGGTTTAGCTATTTCACCGAGAGGGCTGCCACTTGGGCATGTCTGGATATCAAAACCGTTTTGGGCTTGTGGAAAAGGGACAGGGATTTCAACAGCATAAGGAGTTTCTTGCTTGCTCTTGAAAACATTTAAAATCTATTGAAAATGCTTGTGCTACTGATTAGCTCATATAAACCTCCAGGGATTCTCTGGGTTGCTGCTTAAAATTAGCATCAGTTTCAAACACCCAAGCCCAAACCTAGGTTGATTTTCAGTTTGTACTTGTAAAATAATACTTGGTTTTGTTGAGTCAAATTTACTTACTGTTACTCTTGCAAAAGCCAGAGCAAATGGAAGCTTGCCAGGGAAACAGAACAGAAAGCAGGCAGAGATTTCAATAGCTGTTGAGGATTATCATTAAGTGGAAAAGGTGGTTTCCAGCCAAGTCTGCCCCAGTGTTAGGTGTTAGAGGTCTGCCTTTAGTCACCTGGGGTTTATCTACACAGTCACTCACTTTTGTTTTTCTTCTGACAATTTGCCTTTTGTATAAAGCCTTAAATGTAAACTGAACATTGAACCACACCAGAATCAACAAGGGGAAACTCATTAGAAACATACCATTTTAAAATATCTCAGTGAGAAGGGGTTCTTCATCCAAAGATGGATTTATTCTCATCCCCCCGCCCCACCCAGCACCCTCTCTCCAGGGTCTTCTGTAGTGTAGGTTATATGGCAGAGAATGACCTTGAACTTCTGGTCCTCCTGCCTCCATCTCCTGAACACTGGGGTTACAGGCATGTGCTACCATGCCTGGTTTTAGGCAGTGCTGGGGATGGAATGCAGGGCTTCAGGCATCTTAGGGGAACCTTTTACCAACTGTGGGGAATCTTAATTTCGAATACTCGTATTTGTCAGTATTTTTCCTTTTGTATCTATGACCAATTGGGACGTCTTCTTTGTCCTGTCTCTAGATCACTTTAATCCCATTAAGTGAATCCAGTTGGCTGTGGCTATTAGTGGTTTTTCTCACAATGCAAGTGACTAGAATTTTATTGTCCTCGAATGTTTATGAGGGAGAGTACTTTTCCTGGCAAATTTATTAGTTTTGCTGTGATGACGAGTTCTTAGAATTTCAACCTACCAAATCTACCATTAGCCACGTAATCAGAGCTCTGTTCTTGGCTGGCTACTTGCTTTTTAAAATCATCGGACTTCCCTGAAAGCTTCCAGTCTTCAAAGAACTCTCTTTCTGACATATTAAGCCGAACTCCTGGTTCACTTTGATCACTTTCGATGTTCAAGGTAATGGATAGATTTGGCTTGCATCATTTCTTGAGGACTTAAGGGCTAATACAACATTCTCCCCTTCTCTCCGTTTAACTCACAATACAATAATGCAGTTTTAATGAGCTGTTTTCCTTCCATGTCAATTGATCAGGTGTTAGTTTTTGCTCTATTTGCAGTTTTCAAAAGCTGACGACAGTGTTTCTTAAACTTTAATGGACAATTGAGTTTCTTGGACCCTTGGAAAAATGCAGACTCTGATCCTGCTGGTCTGGGTGGGCCTACGGTTTTTTAGCAAGTTCCCAGATGTTGGTGCTACTGGCTTCAGCCCACACTTTCAGTAGCAAATGATTACATTTCCATTACTTTAATGCACGTCTAATGCAATGCGCCGTGGGTTGTGGATACTAATGCAAAGATAATATTATTAGCATGAATAATTCCATATATATTAATATCGAAAAAATTTCCCTTTCGTCTAACCCTTTGGTGGTTTGAGTAGGTTAAGACCCAGGCAAAGGCCACAAAAACTGCAGTAATCTCTTCCGAGGCTGGTGCCCCTGAGAGTCTAACCAGCTCCCAGAGGTTTCACTTCTTGACCTTCCCACCAGCTTAACATCACCGCACTGGGGGCCGTATTCCTGGCATGTGACACTTGGTCAGATGCGCGCAGACCACATGCAAGTCACAACTGCGTGCACATCTCTTTGAACTGCTCCTGGCCACTTGTTTGGGTACAGACATTCCCCTCTCATCACCCAGGCCCCACCAACCGATTTATCCACTTCCTGTCCTTGGAAACTGAATTTTCTCAGGTAGACAGCCCTCCCACTCTGTACCTCCCTCAGCTGGTACAGTATTTCCTCTCAACGCGGTTGTCACGTATAGAGGCTCTGATATCTGTTACATACTTTTCGGTATGAGTCTGAGTGTGTTATCAGTCATTTGAACTTAAAAGCTGAATTCCAATTGTGTAAGGAAAGGCTGCAACTTGTATTAAGAAATGTTCCACAACTCCTTAAGCAGAGTCTCCGAGGTGCTAAAGGAAAAAAGAAATGGCTGAAGGTCAAGATGAAGAAACAAGAATCCACAATTCCCTGTTGAATAATAAAGACATCACTTAATGTCAAGGCTGTGTTTTCAATTGAGACAAGAATTATTACAGCCCACCAGATTTCATGAATTTTGGATCAACTTCTTTATTTCTATTCTAGGTCTACTGCTGTGGCTAATTTCCACAACTGGGGCCCAGTTCATGGAGCTAATAGTTTCTGAGATGGCTGGACTCCCCATTATATAAACCTGGGCCAGTGGCACCCACTTACTTTAATTTTTATGATTATATTAAGCTTTTATCATGTTTCACCTGCTTCATTATTTTGGCTTCAAACTTGTTTGGTTTAAACGCATTTAGAACATGCTAGACGGAGACACCTGGAAATGGGTTGGCAGGATGTAGTGGTAAATGTGCAATAATAATAAGCACACGTATTTAGAGCCATCTAATTTAGAAAACGTATTTGCATTTATTATCTCTAGTATATGACTGGAAAGGAACATTTTTGCTGGCCACAAGAAGAATCTTTTAATAGGCATTCTTAGCTGGGGAACTAAGCACGTTATTTATGATGTTTGATGAGTCTAAAAATGAGCCCCTGTTATAGGCCTGGGGTGGAAGGCATGCCCACTACCAGTCACGATATAGGACAAAGGACCTGGCATTCAGAGATAAGAACATCCTTACCTACTTTATGGATGATTACTGTCACCTTGGAGAATAGAACTTAAATCTAGCAGGATGGAGATTTCCTAATGCTAAACTCTTCAGGAACACAGACCACTCATCTAGGTACACCTGGCCCACCACACCTGTCCGGCATGTGAGCAGTGATTGAGAGTCTGTGGCCTCTGCATGCAGGGTGGCTCTTGACAGGAAGGAGAGGACTAGGAAGAGGTCCCCAAGCCCTTTACCTCCCCAAGACCTGGTAAGTTATTCTCCTTTAAGCCTCTGGCTTAAGATGTATGTACTTGTCATTTTCTTTGTTTTGAGTTGAGGTCAAACTGAAGACCATATGCATTTACATTTCATGACTGTGATCAAAATTTAAGTCCTTGCTGGAGATAAGCAAGGG